CTTCGCACCAATCGCATTTTTTCCCCGCCACTCATCAATACCTATTTTCTTTTTTCTGATTGATCCCGAAATTGTCTCTCTTTTCTCTGTAGGGGGTTTGTACCCCACATGTTGTTGTTGTTGTTGTTTTTTGGATGGACTCCCCAAAATGTCAGGCACCGGGTACCGTCCAATCCCATGTCCCTCTTTTGGAACCGCCAAAAGTTCTAGGGGTACCTTCCCCATTCTTTCCAGGCCTCCTTCTTTCTAAACAACCACCCAAAACCCCGTAGAAACAGCTGGTTTTGGAAAAGAACGATGCTTGAAAAGAATGGAAAAGGAATCAACCCCCCAGAAAAGTGGGGAGACCATTTCTATGGGCAGCCCCGTGTCCCATTTTTTGACACCGTTCTTTTCCTCACCCCGGAGGTGATGAAGCTGGTGGTGAACCTGCGGGTGCCTGAGGAGCACGAGCTCAGCGGCGTAGACGAGCACACCCACGGGGAGCTCTACCACTCGCCGGCCAAGGCCTACAAGCCCCAGGAGAAGGCGGGGAGGGGGTCTCGGTGTATGGCTCGGTTTGCTTCATTTTGCCAAGGGATGTTGGGACTTTAGCTCTTTTTTGCCAACTAAGGGGCATAGGTGTCCTTTTTGGTTGTTTGGCTAGAAAATTAGATGGCGATTCCTGGTTTACCTGGTGGTTTAATTATCTATCAGGGCCATCTATTTCCCCTAAAAGGACACCTATGCTAAGGTTTTCCATCAAACCACTAAAAGTTAAACGTTTGGCAGGGATGGTCTCTTTTTCGTGGCTCGTTTGGGTGGGTTGGTTTTTGAGTTTTTTGTGTGGAGTTTGGTTCGTTGGGTGTTTCTGTTTGGTTGGTTTGGCTTTTTTCTTAGGTGTCTGGCGGTTCGTTTTGGCGTTTCTGTTTGGTTGGTTGGGTGTTTGTCTGGTGTTTGGCGGTTTGTTTGGCGTTTCCTTGCCTTGTTTGTTCGATTCAAGCTTGAAACGCCAACATATTCGGGGGCGGTGGTAGGAGATTGGGATTTGGGGCCAGTTTCTGCGCGGGCCAAGGGAATCCCTATTGAAACTCGACAGAAAACATTGTTTTCCACAATCAGGGCAGAACGGGAGATGGGGAAGGCAGTTAATTCAACCTGTATGGCTCAAGCCGCTCATGTCAACCCGGAGATGTATTCAAATTGGGGGATTAGGGGAAACGCCCCCAAGCGCGAGCCGGAAGCCTCTTAAGACTCCCCACGCTATTGATTCACGGGTTTGTTAATCCGGGGTTTTCCCAAAACGGACTCAACCGCCAAGAGGATGTTGTTTACACAGTGAGTGAAATCAGGTAACCCTTAGCTGGTGGTTTAGGTTGGCGGCTTGGGTATCTGAAACTGGTTCTGTGGAGCTATTCTTCTTCTTCGCAACGGCGGCAGTGAATTGAATGGAGAGAAGTTTGGGAATATGTTCCGATGGGCCAGAACAAGGAAAGGGGTGCCGGAGGCTATTTCGGCTCGGCACGGGAAATTTGGAAACCACCCGGAACCTCCAATTACAGGGAAGCTGATTAACCACGTGGGGCCCATTTTGCACCCTAGCTACAAGAGATCCCGTCAAGATATCCAGTCTATGGTCCATTTGCGGTTCATGAGATGGGGGTTCCTCTAAATTTGAACCACAGAAACCAGAAAACCGGCATACCCATGAACTATTCAGGTTTCACCGCGGCACCTTTGGGAGTCTCTTTCCATGGGAAACCAGCAGGAGAACCGAAGCCATTTTTTGGGGCTCCTAGAACACGAGGTACATCCCTGTGGGATTTCCTTGGCTGCGCTTGGGTGTGACCCTCAACCTTTTGCAACGTCGACCTTGAACAGGCGAAGGTTTTGTTTGTTCCTCTTCTCTACATGCTCGCCTCAGTCTCAGACTACTTCCCCACCAAGCAACACAAACGGGTCTGTCTTGTTTTGAGGGAACTCTCAAAATAAGTGGCTTCTCTCTGGTTGCCCTTTAAACCAGCCCCAAAACGGGTGCCCTGAATAACAAAGGGCATACCCAAGTCATCTCTACCACCCACAGCCGGGGGAGCCAATTGTTCTTCACGCTTTGCCTCGGTGATTTGGACCGAGCCATCGCCCTAGGGGTACCTCCCCCATTCTTTCCAGGGATCCTTCTTTCTAGAAAACCTTCAGAAACCCAGGGAAAACGGATCCGGTCTTTGGAAAGAACGATGGTTGAACAGAATGGGGAGTCAACCTCTGAAATCGCTAAGAAACGAGCAGGCAACATGCAACCTATGGAGCCTATCTGGTGGAAGGGAGCTCCTTGGGATGTGGGGGGATCCCAAATTTGCCATGAGTTTGCATCAGGGTTGTGGAATCAAGGGGTTTGTTCCCACTTCTGTGATACAAGGGGATCTCCCCCCTTATATGGGGTGTTAGTCTTTGGGAAGCCCTTTTTGCTGTATCAGAGAAGTGGATTCCATTTCCCACAACCATGGTTTGCATGAACCATCCCTTAGAGTTGCCTCAGGCAAAGGCGGAAAGCGAGGCCTCCAGCTCTGTCTGAGAGGTTCTTTCGACTGGATCCCGTTGGATGTCCTTCGGCCGTGGAGACACACATGTTGTTTTTGTTTTGGGGGCAGGGATGGGGGGTTCTCCAAGTAGGGGACCCCGTCGAACCTCATTTTGGTTTTGTTTTTTCTTCTTTGTTCTTTTGGGGGGGTGCGGGGGGTTTCTCCCAATAGGGGACCCATTTTTGGATGGCAAGCAAAAGGATACCATTTAGCCGGAGAATTTGGTACCTGATTTCGAGAAACACCCGGATGAGTTTCCTGCAAGGATGATGTTCTTTTTTGGGAGTTTCCCGCGAGGGAGATGTCTTTAAGGGGGAAAAAAGAGGAGATGGCTGACGCGCCTAGACACGTTCGTTGCAGTGTCACCTTTGTTCCTTTCCTTGGGAGCTCACCGAGCGGGGGGTATCAGCTCAGGACGACTGACGAGGGCTCTTTACTTGGGGTGCCCTATGGCAGATTTTGGGCTTGGTGAAAAAAAGGAAAAAACACCACATGCTGCTCTATCCGTGTGTCTGTGTCTGTGTGTGTGTGTGTGTGTGTGTCTGTGTGTCTGTGTGTCTGTGTGTCTGTGTGTCTGTGTGTTGGGCCCCACTTTTTGCAGATGAATAAATCAACAGGAAAGCCGTGGCTCCGACCTTTGGGCCCGTGAGAAAACCTCCATGGGTCCGATCAAACCGAAAGAGTTGTAACTGAATCTGGGAAGGAGAGAACATGGCCGGGGGAATCCCACGGGATTTGTGGTCTCTGAGCTTGCACAATTCGGTTTCAAGCTTTAAATTATCGTAATTGGACGGCGCGGGAGGTTGCCAAGTAAGTGCAGCCACAAAGCACCAATCCGAGTCGTCCGTCCGGTTCTTCCCCAGTGCTTCTAGTTTCCACTACATCAGGTAACCAGCGAAGCCACCGAATTAGCGACTTGCTTTTGCATTGCACGGGAGCACTGGATGTGACCGTTGCGTTCATTTTCTTACTGCTTGAGTTGGCAAGTTGCCCGAATCGCCAACGCAGATTTTGCGCTGACCGGCACAATGCCGGAGGAATCCACACTCCGTGGATCCGGACAGAGATTAGCCGATGTGCTGGAGAGCCATGGCTTACCCGCGCTGCCGTCAGGGGAAAGCACCGGGTACCCAGTGAGTTCTGAAGTCGCATTGGTCCCTTAAAGTATATTAGGGCCAGCCAACAATGACCCACACACCTTCTCTTTGCAAGAATCGTGGAAGCTGACAGGAAGTTGTTTTTTTCCCTTTTGGGGAATCTGCCGGTCCAATTTCATGTTGGAAGGAGGGTAATTACCAGCTGACTTGAAGGATCTTCGTGCAAAGGAGGTGTCTTTTTCGGATGGATCTGGGATGTTGTTTCTTGAGGTTCGGTGGTTGGCGTAAAGGGAAACCCCAAGTTGAACACACCGCCCCCATTTTGGGGGCCGGTCCTTTTCCGGCCGTATGACATGCCCCATCTGAGATCTTGGAACACAGACCATTTGGGTATGTCCTTTTTTTTTGGGGGGAGACCCCAAACTGGTGGTTTTTCTGTTGGTTTCCCTTTAAAACCAACCAAAAAAGGGATACCATCCAAAAAATCACCCGCCGCCCATCTCACTTTCTTCCTGGTGCTGCCTGATAGCTTTGAGCGCCTTTTGAATGGCAGTGGCTGGAGGCTGCTGCCACGGCCTCTTGTTCAGGCCGGCCCATTTCCATGTGGCGAAAGGCATCGAAAAGGAAAAGGAGGCGGCGCTTGCAACCGCAGGTTGCAAGCTTGGAGGTGGAGGAGTGGGGATTTCGTCCGGAAGCGCATGTACAGCAGCCCATTTTTTCCAACGAAATCTGGGGGGTCCGACCCCACCCTCCCCCCCCCCCCCGCCGCCGCAAGGGTAGGCAGGATGCGCTGGGAGCATGCCGGTTCATTTGGATGGAGAGACGGCAAGCAACTTACATGCCGGAGCCTGTCGGCGCACCTTTCCATATACCAGGCACACCGTTCGATTGGTTTCCGCCATCAAAGCAAAGAGACAAAAAAACAACATGTCTTGTTTCTTGCCCTCAAAGCATGATAGGTGTCCTTGGAGTCACGCCCATCACTCGTGGCTTTTGCGTGTTTCTACTGGGTAACCCCCTTGTCAGTTGATGTTAAAGGGGCGCGCAAGTCGACGAAGCATTTGTTGGGGTCATCACAGCGCAAGAAGCATGCGATCCACAATCAAAACCTGGATCGATGAACCAAAACTGTTTAGAGGGACTTGTACCCCACCAGAAGTCTAACTTTTGGCAATCTCAGATCGTTCAAACCACACCTTTGGGGGTACCTGGAGTCTCCATGACCCTTTAAACATGCGGTCGTTACCCAAAATTAAGGGGTTATGACCCCTTTTTCAAGTGGTCATGGAGACTCTAGGTAGTGGTTTGGGGGTGGAGACCATCTCAGCAACCTTTCTCTTGAGAGGCCACTCCGGACTTGAAGACGAAGGGCACCGGCGTCTTGCTCTTTGTGGACCTGGGTTCTGGGCCGCGGCTCGGATTAGCGGAAGGAACCGTTGGGTTATGAGGGGGTGAGGGGAACTTTGGTTTGCCCCCTCAATCTGTACCCTCACTTCCTGAGTTCATGAACTTTAAGCTTTTTGGGAAGAGTGGTAAATATAAAGTTTGGGTACTTGTTGTTTTCTTTCTTCGGGCCATCCACTCAGGAAGAAGGACAATTCAGCCCTTAGCTCCGAATGGCCGGGGTGACGCAAGCCAACGCCTTTTACTTCTTTGCCGGCCATCCGCCAAGACAGGTCCCATCTGGTCATGCTGACCGCCCAAATGCCTTGGCCTCTCTCCCCTGGGGTGGTGCAACTCAGTTGTCCAAAACTGACCTTTTGACCTTTTGGTGGTTCCATGTTGATCCTTGCTCAATCAATGTTCTAAAGGGTTAAGCTTGTAATTTAAGGTCCTTTGGGCAACTGAGAGTCTGTTTTCTGTTCCCCTGTTTTGTTTGAAAGGGAATTCAACAGCTGGCTTTAAATGCTTCACTCAAGCCTCATACGGCTCCCAACAAGGCTCCTTCCTCCTTACAAGGCTGCTTACAAAGCTGCTTACAAGGCTCATTGTGAAGCTCGGTTCCCTTTAAAGCTTCTAATCCAGCTCCGTACAAAGCTCCCGGTAGGGCTAGCTACAAAGATCCTTATAAACCTCCTTTGCGAAGCTCCTTGTCCTTGTGCACATCCCTTTCAAGCTGCTTGTGAAGTTCCTTATGACACCTCTTAGCCTCCTTATATCAAATAGGATTTTGATTACAAAAACAGGTTGAACATAATAATGAAACAAACAAATCAGAATGAGAGTTCAAATAATAACTTTCCAACCATGACTTCCATGTTAGTACTTTGTGTTTCAGTATAATTTAATAAGGACATAATTTGATCAGAATCCTTTTTCAAAAGGCTTTCGATGAAATTTGATGAGAATTTGAGTAGAGCTCAGTAACGATGATATGTTAGTATAAATTCTAGTTAAAAATAGGCAGGAGTTGCTTTAAATTTGCAGATGAAACAGAACACAGACAGGAGTTATACGCAATGCCTTGCAAGTGAATAAAGCTCTTATAAAGCTCCTCTCAAGGCTCCTTATAAGGCTCCTTATGCCAATCAGGACTTTATAATTTGATTTAATTAGAATGCGAACAGAGCATAACAAGAAGTAATGAGGACACTCGTTTGTTTTGAATGAGGGGTCAAAAGGGCATTCCAAATATGACTCTGATTGTATAAAAACAATCAGGATTTAATGGACGGAGTCCAATTTGAATTGCTATTTGCAATTTTGATTTGAATATGAGTTCCTTTCCACACTGGTTCTCACATATTTGAATTGGACATTGCGTAGAGCTTAACACGCAGGATGCATTTATGTTGGGCTTGCAGATGTGACAAAACACGGACCGGCCTGACTTGTTTGGCTTTGCAAAAGGAACATGATACATTGAGACATACAATTGATTTGTGCCCGCAGATGGTGCAGATTAGTGCAGATGGCGCAAAAAGGTAGATCATGTAAGGGGGGGGGGGGTCCTGAGCATATATATATATATATGTTGTATTTTGCAGGGGACTTAAGCAAACAGAGGTTTGACGACACCTGGCCTGGCCACCTCCCCCTCTCCCCGAGGCCAGTGCTGGGCGGGTCTGCTTTGTCGCAGGCGCCCGGGGGGTCGGGACTTCGGGGGTCCCCCCGAGAACGGCTGCAAAAAGAACGTGGGGCGTGTTCGGAAACAGGGGACGCCGACGCCCAAAGCAAACTGGGTGGTTTTTCCTTTGGGCTTCCTTTGAAGCAGCCACAAAAAAAGGGTACCGAGCTCTCAAACAAAGAGCCAACCCCATGAGAGCCTATGATCCTTGTGTTGGCTCACCGGGTTTGGCGTCCCTTGCGCTCAACGCCGGCTGTGCCTGTGCAGGCAACTCGGTACAGGGTGCAACTTCCAAGTCAAGGCAAGCCGCTGGGCGGCTTCCTTTTGGTTTTGGTTTCTCAGTTGTTCAGTGGCACCCTTTTTCCTTTTTTGTTGGTGGCTGGCCCACCAAAAATGGTCTTCCCCAAAAAGTGTTCCCTTTTTTCCAGGGTCACTGGGCAACTGAGGTTTGGTTCCCCTTTTGTTGTTACTTGGTCCTTGCGGTTCGACTTGGGTTGGGAAACCAAAAAGCCAACTACCCAATTGAAACCAAAAGAGGACAACTGCCATTTTTTGGACTACCCATTTCTGTTTTATTTTTTCCTGACACAAAAAACCTACCATTTTTTGGCCTGACACAAAAAAGACCTGTTTGGTTCCAGGCCCTCGGTTTTGGTTTCTTTCCTCTCGCTCGCTTTTCCCCAACAGAGCTCCGGTCGCATGTCCAGGTCTTCGGTCAGCTGGGCTGCGGGCCCTCGCCACAGGTGGACGCCAAAGCGCTGAAGGCGGGTCGTGTTGGTTCGCTTGGCCGGGATGTGGATCCCCCCCCTGTTTGTTTGTTCTCTCTCTCTTTCATTCTTTTTTTTGAGGGGGGGGACGGTCCAGAGGCTCTTTCCACGTGTTATTCTTCTTTTCTTGGGGGGGGCCTATGTTTTTTTTTTTTTTTTTTTTTTTTTTTTTTTTTTCTTTTTTTTTTTTAAATTTCCATTGGGGGACGGGTGCTTTCCCTGCAGGACATGGATCCCAGCCCCCCTCGAAAGAAGAAATAAAAATCGAAACACGTGGAAGAGCGAGGCCATGACCCCCCCAGAAACCTGAACCAAGGCAAAGCTGTTGGTTCAACCGCAAACCTGTTTTCCTCCGTGCTGTGCTTTGGACTCATGGGCCCGCAAAACTGGTTGGGCCATTGGGGATAAAGCACATGCTAAGAAGGAAGATTTCGGTAAGCCACCCAGTCCTTGTATCAGTTAAGTTGGACAATTCTACCAGAACCCCAAAATTTGAAACAAGAATTGGATCCCTAGGCTTTCTTTCGTTTTGCCACCTGAAGAGCTCGCTTTTTTTGAAGGCAGTAGAACCCCACAAAGAAAAGAACCCCTGCGGTTTGACCCTTAAAAATTGGAACACCAGGCCATGGTATCCCAAAGGAACCATCAAAGTTGGGAAACTCTTCCAATGACCACATCTTTAAAACCGGTGGTTTTCCAAGCACTGCCAAACCGCGTCTTGAAACTGGTGGTTTCCAACCCTTCCGCAACCGCATCTTAAAATTGACCCTCAGACCACGGCTTTAGATTGGCGGTCCAAGCTCCTCCACAACCGCGTCTACAAACTAGGCCCTTTTCCAAGCCTGCACCGAACACCTGCTGCGTTTGCGACCCCGCCTTTTTCCACGAGACCAAACCAAAGCTCACGGATTCCCTGCTAAAAGTGACACTTGCAGTGTGTCGTCTCCATCCCTCGCGTGTGGGGAAGGAAGGCTCCCATCTACCCTTGGGAATGGACAATTGGGACGCACTGCGTCCCTCCTTGAGGGGTTCTTGGTTCTTGAAAAATCACCTTTGAAGGTGGGGAAACCCTCCAAAACCACCACTGAGAAGATCAATTTCGAGGATGTCTTTCTAAAATGGACCACCCTTGTTTTTGGTCGCCCATATTGTGAGTGAGTTTCAGGTGGGCACAGATCCTCTAGTGGGCATCGTTTGGGCGGGATTCATGCAACCATCAACCACTTGTGAAGGATTCTCTATTCAAACCCATAGCCATAGTTCTCTTCGAGCATATTCAACACCATTTTTTGGGCAAGGTCACGTTGAGTGAGCTCCATCCGGTAGGGCCATGCTTAAAGAAGAACGATTGGGACCCCTGTTACCGTTTCGGGTTGGAGACATATGGCTGTGAGTCAAAACCAATGGTACCATTTTGGGGTAGGTGCACCACCCATTTTAGTCTATTTTAGTGGGGATTGGGATGTTCCGCATGTTTTCTCCGTGGAATCCTGCCTGTGGGCAAGCGTCACACGAGGATTCGGGGCTTGATTTCCTGTCGCACTTGCCATGGTTTGTGATAAGCTTGCTTGCCATTCCCAGGTCAGCGGATTCCCAATACGCCTGTCTAGGCTTCCCTTTTGCGCCAGCGTTGTTTATTCGACGCGCAACTCACGGCTCAAAGCTTTGCTGGGTAGCTGGGGAACACACATTTGCTCAGTCAGGCTCTCGGACCATATGTCCAATGGCCAAGTGGCAAGTGGTGAGATATGTCGAAACCCAGCCCCTTGGTTTTCACCATTGCCTTGGTGTTCCTGGGTCTTCGCCCGGAAAGAAAAACACATCGTCTCCCCAAAGCGGGTGGACTTGGAGCCGGACTTCGGGAGCTCTCGGAGCGGAAAAGTTTCGAAAACATGGCCATGTTTGAGCGGGAGCCGCCCGTCGTGACCCAGGCGTGCAAACCGGGCTTGTGAAGAGTTGATGGCCAAGGTTTGCGCCATTCCCCCTCACACATATCTCCTGCTGAGTTTGTTGTTTGATGACAGTTGTCGGGGTTCCCAATGCTGTTTCGAAAGTACTGTCCTGATGAATCTGCAGCACCACAATATAATGAGGGGTGCTCCCCTCAGATCTATTCTAAACTGGGACACCCACCCTTGTTTGAATTGCACTTATTGTAGCGAGCTCACTGGGAGGGGGGTGGGGGGTAAAACGAGCTCCCAAAGCCCTTCCTGAGGGATTCCAGAATTGATTGGTAATTTGTACTAATTAGTGCAGATTGATCACCTGTTTGAGCCAGCAAGGACAGATTGCGGGACAGAAGGGCATGCTCAATGTATGCTAGGGCCAAGCCTTTGAGGCTCCGCTGAAGTTCTGTCATGGGGCACGTCCGAAGTGTAACGATCTATTTTTACCAAGCTTCTTGAACTGGTCACATCGATTCCGATCAGGTGCTAACTAGTTCTTTGTCATGGAAGGGTGACAAAACGTTCGAGCAGAATCTGGACCCTTGGTCAAGGACTCAGAAGGCAGTGACGTATCCACAGTCCACTGTGAACAGCTGGTACCCTTTTCAGGTTGGTTGAAGGGAAACCAAAAGGAAAGCCACCAGTTTTTGGGGAGCTGGCTGCGGCAGATTTGCCAAGCTGGACAAAGTCTACTTCCAATATCGCCACCTGCTGTTAAGAAGCCTCAGAGACAGGTTCGGTCAACAAGTTGCCAGTCTATGGTCCGTTTGGAGAAAACGAGAAAGGGGGAAGTCACGACATTGCAGCCACAAAATCAAGGGGACCCCTTTCTCATGTCTTTAGCCACCCGTAGCAACTGCACATATTTTGGTTGATGGCCAGTTAAAAGCAGTTCTGGTTTGCCCCTGTTAAATGGGCTCGCGCGCTCTCGCATGACCAAAATTGGGAACCCTCCCGAAAATGGTATTTGCGATTCCCCTTGTTTGTATGGCGTTCGACAATAATTTCAAAGCAAATAGCGATTTTGGGAGGTCCACATATCCTTTGAGATGTACATAGTTGAAGTCATAAGCGGAAAGAGCCATTGCAGGTAGTCGATAAAAACACCCTCCAAGGGTTCTCCTTGGGGGTGCGACCGACCGACTTCCGACTGCCCAGATAACGGCGGGAGAGGATGCTGAGGAGTTGTAAGGGAGGGGCGAAGTTCGATAGAAACACCGATGGGGAGTTGTGTCCAAGCGCTTCTAAGGAGGTTCCTCAGTAATTTTCATAGCCATTTGGTGCCCTCTCTGGAATCTCTTTTCTCCAGACTGTTACACTTTTTGCGTGAGGGATTAACAAGCCAGTAGGGACCGGGTTTCGGCCGACGTGTGATGGCCTGCGTAGTTTCATGTGACAAAGTCAGGGGGATGTAAGTCGGGTATGGAGTGGTATGAATGGTTGGATTGCTGGTATACGGCCATGGGTCAAAACCCCGTACCCCCAGTGAACATCCCAATCCCCACTAAAATAGGCTAAAATGGGTGGTGCACCTGCCCCAAAATGGTACCATTGGTTTTGACCCACAGCCATATCAACCAGTTTTCATGGAATTTAATCCATCCCAACTGGTTTTCCGATCGATTCGCGTGGATTCCGGCAGCACGGGAAGGAGGGGCCACCGTGTTTTCAGGGCTGCGGGTTGGCTGAAGCCATTTTCGGCGCCAAGGGGCCTGTAGCACGGATCAAGTCGTCTCCGGTGATTGTTTTTCAACCGGCGGTCAACAGGAATCCAACATGATCTTTGGCGGTTCGGGTTGACGTTACAATGTTTGGTGCTTGTCCAACCTGGGCTATGCTTGGCAAGTTCGTCTGTGAATCCACCAAAAGGATATTTTCCCATTCAGGGCACTCTCATCCAAGCAAATGTCCATTCCAACCATTTGTTCAGACGATGGCAAACCTTTCACGGAATTTGTGGAAGGTCCACAGATATCTGTAGGAAGTCACGTAGCTTTAGGTCGTCTACACATGGCTGCCAGAGCCAAATTCAGCAATGCTTCACCCAGCAGAAGAAAGCTTGTGGCGTGCCAAGGACTCTAGCCCAGAATCCTTTGTCGGCGTACATTCCGGGGACCCAAAACAGGCTCCAACAAAAGGGTTCCAGCTTGCGCCAAAGGACACTCATGCGCTTTCCGCATCCAATTTGTGAACCCATTTGTTAGAACCTGTTCAACGGGACGCCCAAACTACTTGTGGCCAATATTGTTTGAACCACCAAATTGCGGGGGGGGGGGGGGCTTCGCTTTTGGGGGACAACCTATCCAACAGGTTATCTTTGGCAAACATGGTTTGAACCACCAATTTTTGTTGGGGGGGGATGCCAACCCCTGAAAAGGGGGGGTATGGTGGACACTTAGGGTCTATTTTGCAACCTCCTTCTTTCAGGATATTGATTTTTTAGGGTTTGAGTCTGCAAAATAGACTCTAGGTGTCTATGGGAAAGGGGGGCGGGATACCCCTTACCCATTGGTGAAAACTTTGAGGTTCTAACAAGCCGCATGTGGTTTGAACCACATGTATGACCAAGTTCATGTGCTATAACCCAGGACGAACGTCTGCTGTGTGCCGCCTTTGCAGAGCTCGCGGCCGAGGCGTCCGGGAGTCGAGTGGTCCGGGACGTGCCGGAAAATGTTTCTTTCTTCGGTTCAACCTTGGGATGGTTATTATTGTTATTGTCATCATTATAAGTATCATCATCATCATCATCATCATAATAATAATGATAATAATAATAATAATAATAATATTAATAAAATAATCATAATACTTAATAATAATAATAACAATAATAATAATAATAATAATAATAATAATAATAATAATAATAATAATAATAATAATAATAATAATAATAATAATAATAATAATAATAATAATAATAATAATAATATTAATAAAATAATCATAATACTTAATAATAATAATAATAATAACAACACTAATAATAATAATAACAATAAAAATAAAAAATAATAATAATAATAATAATAATAATAATAATAATAAAAA